AAGTCCAGGGTGTCCAGGTGTTCCGCTCCGTAGTTTCCTGCATCTAGGTACTGGATATGGAAGTCCAGGGTGTCCAGGTATTCCGCTGCGTAGTTTCCTGTGTCCATGTGTTGGATATGGAAGTCCAGGGTGTCCAAGTATTCCGCTCCGTAGTTTCTTGTATCTAAGAGTTGGGCGTAGAAGTCCCAGGTGTTCTGCTCCGTAATTTTTTCCATCTAGGTGTTAAATGTGAAAGGTATTCTGCCCGTAGATGACGAGATTCTGTAACGAATTCTTTTTCAAGTGTTCGGAACATAAAAAAAAAAACAGTGTATTTGTTTTTGTTTAGAAAGCCGAAATAGTATTTAAAACAAGAAAATTTTGAAAAATAAGTCTATACATCACTCCACATGAATTACTTTGAAATGATCGAAGTACGACAAAACTCGTCTATTTACATTCCTTCTCATTCACTCTTTTGGCATATTTCACATATATTAACAAATCAAAAATTGGCCATCTAATAAATATTATATAAATTCTTATCTTAATTCGATTTCCTTCCTTTCCCAGATCCCTCGTGGCGTTCATCAATGGTTATTTAGAAATACGGATTTGCGCTTGAGCGTCGTCGATTTATACATGTGTTCGCTGCCTACGTGTTTCTCCTCTTGTTTGTTTTTTCAATATTTTGAGTAAATCAGTTTGTGTTGCAACGTCAAATTCCCGGGCCCTGTTGCCTGATAATAGGTTAACACACGAGGATTGTATTAAATGTGAATATAAGATATTTGAAATAGGTGCGATTGGATAAATACCTGGCTCGTCGAACTGACACACGTGTCACCTTAGACGGTTGTTAGTCAAAAGGGACGAGCCAGGATTTCTGCCGATGAACATTGAATCGCAGCGAACGGAGGGGGAAAAACGATATTGGTGCGATCTATTGACTAGATTCATTACCATGAAACAGGTATGACCTGTCGGTAATTCGTCACAGTCCAGGGTGTCCAGGTGTTCCGATCCGTAGTTTCTTGTATCTAAGAGTTGGGCGTGGAAGTCCAAGGTGTCCAGGTGTTCTGCTCCGTAGTTTTTTCCATCTAGGTGTTAAATGTGAAAGTTCAGAGTGTTCAGGTGTTCCTCTCCGTAGTTTCCTGTATCTAGATATCGGATATCCAGGGTGATCAGGTGTTACGCTGCGTAGTTTCTTGTATCTAGGTGTTAGATGTGGAAGTTGAGAGTGTTCAAGTGTCCCTCTGCATAGTTTTCTGTGTTTAGGTTTTCCGTTCTAAATCGATCGGCACCAAGATCTATACAATTGCTGTACGAGATCAAGGCATATTGAAATAGCAAAGGAGATGATTTTAATTCAGTTCAGTCATCCTCGTCGTCTTTGTATCTCCAACTGCTTTTTTAGATAACAGATGGCACTGATTACAACACGTAGT